CTTGCTCAAATGTTATTTCATTAAATTCTTCTGTATCTGCCAATTCCTTTCGATATAGTGACTCAGTATATTCCTTCCATCTTCTTTTAATACTTCCTGGATCATTTAATATTCTGCCTAAGCATCCTTGATTATAGCAACTCTAAGTTTGAATTTGTTCTTCAGTTTCTTGAGCTTAAGAAATGCTGAGCAAGTTTGGCCCTTTTGATTTTCCGACTCTAGCTCCTTGCACATTTCATTGTAATATTTTGCTTTGTCATACCATGCTGCCTTTTGGAATCTTCTGTTCACCTCTTTAGTATCTTGAATTCTTCCTTGTCCTTTGGCTTCTCTGTGCTCCAGTGCAATCTTCAGAGTTTCTTCTGACATCCATTTTGGTTTTTTCTTCCTCTTCTGTCTTTGTAATGACCGTTTGCACTCTTCCTGGATGATACCTTTGACATCCACAACTCATCTGGTCATTACTCATTAGTGTTCAAGGCCTCAAATCTGTTCCTGAGATGATTCTTAAATTCAGGTGGGATGAAATCAAAGTCATATTTTGGCTTCTGTGGGTTGAAATGCTTATTTTGTTTATCGATTGTTGATAGGTAACCTGCTGGTCTCTTAGATAACTTACTTCCCCCTATATCCCCCCTTTTTTATTTCAATGTTGTTGTTGTTAAGTGCCGTTGAGTCCTAGGCGACTCATAGCAACCCTATGAACGACAGTCCTCAACACTTGTGTGACTTTCATCCTTTCTCCAAGTTCATAGGGTTTCTGGAGGCAAGCTATTTACGGAAGCGGATGCCACTCCTGCTTCCAAGCTTGTTTTAATCAGGGAGCATCACCAAACACTGTCCACTGTGGGTAACCATTTACCGCATTTGACACATCAGTGTCACAGTGTTCAGCTTCACAGCTACCACAAGTTAACCTCTGTACAGCAAGTGGGCACACCAGGGCTATACGACCTACAAGAATGTTTGAAAAAAAAAAATACATTTTTTTCAATGCATTTTACTAAAATTGCATTATGTGTGTTTTCACATTTTAACTTTCAAGCTTTATTCTCTTTTCTGTGGCTTTTTAGTGCAGATGAGCTACTTCTCACCGAGATGATGTTTAACGGCCTTTTCAATGACCTGTCTGCAGAACAAGCAACAGCATTACTGAGCTGCTTTGTGTTTCAGGAGAATGTGAGTTAATACTTTATATGCATCTTATGTGTGTAGTTGGACATCATGGAAGTCAGTAATATTTTCAGTGTTGATAATTTTTAAAGCTGATCACATATTTTATTGAAAGAATGACTAGTAAACTGAAAGTACACAGTTTGAAAAGAATGCATTATTGTTAAAGAGCTGAGATTAAAAATTAAATATTGTTTAGCTTTACCTACAAGAGGGCCTTTTAGTGAGAGGAGCTATCCAGAAGAATGTATCCCTTTTTTACGATGTATCTGGAAGCCTAGCTAGATCTCTCTTTTAATGGGGAGTTAGCATCTTTGTACAAGATCCTGCTCTTTAAATTAAGGAAAACCAGAGCTGGCAGGAGAATATAACTCAATAATTGCTGTTCTAGTCTGTAAAGAGTTGCACTGCTAACTCAAAAGCTGCACCTCTCCAGTTCAAATCTACCAGTAGCTTCACAGGAAAAAAAGGGCAGTCTCTTCCCATGTAGTTTATAGACTTGGAAATTTAATGGAAGTCAGCTATGAGTCAGTCCGACTCAATTGCAAGAAGATATTTGCTCTCCTTTAAATTCAGAGAATAAAGTTAGGTTTATGTAAGTGGAATAAGTTTGCAAATAAAAATATGGAAAACAAATTTTGAAATAAGCAGTGTTGTTTATAAAGAAGAAGGTCATGTGTTGCCATTAATTAGCACTTAGAACTCAAAGTTGGAAGAAAGCTCATAGATCTAATGCTCCTGAAACATGGGGAGTAAATCTCCCTGACTCTTATTTTCAAGGCTGGGACTGGACTCTGGAAAAAAGATTCTTAACATCAACATCAAAAAGTCATCTTAACTTTTAAAAGGAAAAGAAATAATCTACGTATGGATATTGGGAATTCATGGAAATTCTCGGATAGAGAACCATGTTATACAGTCAGAAACAGGTTTTTGTTTTTTTTTTAAATTATTAAATTTTATTAGTTTTAATGAACATTTACAGGGATTTTGGGTTTTCATTCCTTCATTGCTGCACCATTCTCTCTACCCTCCTCCCCAGTTTGTTCTTCTTCCCCTGCCATCCAAATGTCTGTTTTAATTGTCCAATTGCCACAGTGCTTGTCAAAGAGAAAACTTTCACATTTAATTGTGAGTAACATCAATTGAAAATTAAGAGCAAAAAAATAAATGTGTATCATAAGAGAAAGACATGAAACAGTACTTATTTTAATGCTACCTTTTTTCTGATGTTTGAGAATAACTTGACCTGGTGCATCTAGTCCTTCTAGACACTAAAATCTTGCTTAGTCAAGGCTTATAGTAATAGCCAATACATTATACTCTCATTGCTGCAACAGAACTTTTCATATAAAAAGTTAGTTTACTTTAACACCAGGAAAATAAAAGGCTAGATTTGGTTTATAAAAGTTAGTATGAGTTGTTTTTTATCAAGTTATTTTTAAAATGGACTATATTATTCATTGTGGGTGAAATAAATAATAATAAAAGCAACAGCAAAAACCAGTTGCTGTTGCAATAATTTAGAAATACTAAATTTTCAAAGAACTTCGTTGCTACAGTGGTTATGCCTTTGATGGACAGTTTAACCCACAGCTGCTAAATGGGAGAAAGATGTAACATTCTGCCCCCATGAGAAATTCTGGCCTTAGAGACTCTAGGGCTGTGGTAGTGCATCAGACCACTGTTGTAAAAACAGGATAACCAGCAAGATATTTATAAGTGTTCAAAAGAGAAAGGAGAAGAGGGTCTGAAGGAGGGAAATCTCTAGAATAGTGGAGATTAGTGAGAGGACCGCTACTTTAAATAAGTGATTAGAGAGGACTGTACTGATAGAATGAAATTTGAATTGAGACCTGAAAGTAAGATGAGGGAACAGACATTAAATGCCTGGTGAATGAGCACTAGAAAAAGCATACTGACTTTGACTAATACTAGTGCCTTCTGGTACAGAGCTACTCTTTCATCATTCTTCGTAGTTTTTTATTTGAGCAAAAATAATATAGCACTTCCTTCATTATTAAGTCCAGATATATAAGTAATACTGATAAAACCAAATTTTATATAACTACAAATGCTATAAAATAAGTGCAATTCCATTGTAACTAACGTATCATTATTTTAAAAATGGACCTGTTACTAACATTGCTAATGTCATACAAACATATTTGCCCCTCTGGTTCTAATTTTACTTTTGTTTTGCAACTGCTCTTTGTCAGCAGTTTTTCACAAATACCTTATTTTAAAAATCTTTTTTTTAAGTTCATTTTAATGAAAGTTTACAGAGACTTTTAATTTTCATTAACTCATTATTGCACTTTTCTTCCTGCCCACTCCTACACCTCATTCACTTTTTCTTTGAAAAGTAAAAGAAAATTACTTTCATTGTTATAGAGTCCCCCCCCCAAAAGTCTACTCTATAATGCAGCCTTCATTCTGGACTCTTGTCATGACAATAATACTTAATCATTTATCTCTTTTATACTGTTCTCTCCCTCATCTGTTTCAATGCAGTATACATAATTTATCCCATCTTTCTCAGTCTCCCTCCAACACCAATGCAAGTCCCGTTTTACAACATTGGCACTATGCAGCATTTGTCCTTTTGGACTGAAACATTTCACTCAGCATAATGTCCTCCAGGGTCACCCATTTTGTATATTTCATAAGTTCCTTGTTTTTCAATGCAGCATAGTATTCCATTGTATGAATATACCATCGCTTCTCTATCCATTGGTTTGTTGATGGGCACTTAGGTGGTTTCCGACCCTTTGCTATTGTAAACAAAGCCGCGATAAACATGGGTGTGCATATATCTGCTTGGGTGGCGGTTATGGTTTCTTTGGGGTATATTCCCAGTAGTGGAATTGCTGGGTCAAATGGTATTTCTGTTTGCAACTTTTTGAGAAAGTGCCATACTGCCTTCCTTAGTGGTTGCACCATTTCACACTCCCAGTGTGAATAAGGCTTCCAGTTTCTCCACAACCTCACCAGCATTTGTTGTTTGCTGTTCTGTTAAATTTTGCTAGTCTTACTTGGTGTGAGATGATACCTCTTAGTTGTTTTGCACAAATACCTTTTATTCTCATCTCAAGTCTTTGGTTTTATTATTTGACTTTTAATAGATTTAGAAATTAGTGCATAGAAAATTCAAGTAACTTGTCCAAGTTCATTTGGCTTGATCAACTTGAAACTTTCATTCTTTAATTGTGACATTGACAAACTTCACGAGTATGAAGCAGTATTAAGAATACTGAATCTCAAAACTATTAACTGTCTTCATTAAAGGCTTGGAACATCTGGATTAAATAAAATTTGGAACTTTTAATTTTATTTTGCTCCAAATTGTCATTTTCCCAGATGAATTGCCCAGAGGCTGAAGTTTTAAAATCAAACTACGATAAGAGTTTATGATAATGTTGATCTAACTATGTAGCTATGCATGTTTATAATTTTTGCTCTCTCTTACTTCCATTTATGGTCACAGAAAATAGCTAGTAGAGCCCTTTGCAGTTATCTGTATTTTTCTCTGAAATATAATTTAAAATCCTCATATTTTAAATGAGAGGGATGTATAATTTGTATCTATAAGGTAAATGTTGATTATAAATGTTAATGACAAAAGTCTAATAATATGATATCAGTGATAGTATGGAACCATTTTTATTGCTTTTTTTTTACTTCTTTTCCTTTATTTTCCAGTCTAGTGAGATGCCTAAGTTAACAGAGCAATTAGCGGGACCACTTCGCCAAATGCAGGTAAGATTTTATGATTCGTGGTTTTATTTTACTGTTTAAAATAAATCCACACCATTGTAATAAATGATGGTATACAGTTGCTCTAAGTGCAGATTTGGTGCCTGCATTGTTCTTCTCTTCAGTCTAAAGAATGCCATCTTAGGCCAAGATTGTATTAGCTTACATTTTTGTCTACATTCTGTAACAAAGGTTTAGAATACTTTTTTCTAAGATACTTTCCCTGGGTACTCCTTAAAGCCACACATTTTCTTTTTTTATTATTTAGTTTTAGTAGAAAGATTGTCTTCTTCAGTGATACATAGACAAGGAAAGAGACGCTAAGAGAATACACGACAGGAACAAAAGTGAACCATAAAAACAGCCTTCTGAGGAGAATATTTTAACATTCCCGGACATTACGTCTATTCAAATGATAGAATTAAGGACATTTTCCTAAGTCTAGAAGTTTTAATCTTCTAAATTACCAAGAAAAAAATTTAAATCTGCTAGGTGTTAGTGCTTCTCCAAATTTGTTTTGCACTGCCTTGGTGACACAATAATTAAACATTCAACTTTTAAACAAAAGTTTAGTGATGATACCCCACCCAGGACCTCCATGGAGTATAGATCCTGCAGTTTACTTTTGTGAAGATCAGAGTCGAGAATAAGGGGCCGTGAGCACAGTGAACTCACCAGCACCCACAAGAATCCCATTTAGGTATTGTTACTGAAATCAATTAATTTGCTATTGCTGTGGAGTAATGTTAGTGAGGAGTTCAGTGAGTATACACTTAGGTGAAACCATGCTCCTGATAGATTTTTCTTACTTAACCACTTTGGTATAATGGGAAAACTTGGCTGCTGGACCACTTAGCAGTAGAACAGAAACATTACAAGAATGTCACCTTAGAAGGAAAGTTGGTCCTGTGAAACGATACTGACTTTGAAAACCTAGAGGAAAAAAGTTATAAGTGGATCATAGATAAGAAATTTTAAATGTACCTTTTATCTTTATAGGAGTGTGCTAAAAGGATTGCAAAAGTTTCAGCTGAGGCAAAATTAGAAATCGATGAGGAAACTTACCTAAGCTCATTCAAACCTCACCTAATGGATGTAGTATATACCTGGGCTACTGGAGCTACATTTGCCCACATTTGCAAAATGACTGATGTCTTTGAAGGTATGGTTCCATTATATAAACATACTTTTTGCCTGATAATAGACATGTATTTACAATGACTTTTTTTTTAACCAAGTAGGAGTTTCATTTAGAGACAAAGACGGTAAGACATACTTTGGGCATGTTATCAAAAATGACAGGTTCTTGGAGAAAGACATTATGGCTCAGATTACGTACATTAGAGATGGTGAGGATGGTGCCAGATAGAACAGGATTCAGACCTGTTGTTTATAGTGTCATAGTTGGAGTCTGCTCAGTGGCCTCTAGCAACATCATACACATTTATAAAGCCAGACAATGAAGACAGAAGAATAAAGAAAAAGATGGGGGATGTGCTGGCCTAGAGGGTAAGGAATTGCGCAGCCAGTTTGAATCTACCAGCTGTTCTGTGAGAGAAAGATGGGCACTCTCACATGTGCTTTACAGCTCTAAAACCTGCCAGAGGGTCAGCTATGAATCAGTTCCAACTTGATGGCACATAATAACCACAAAGAAAAATGGATTCATTTGTGTTACAACATTAGTGAAGAATATCACCTGTATCTTGTTGGTGATTACTAGAAGAATGAACAGATCTTTCTGGGAAGAAGTGTAGCCAGAGCTCTCCTTACAAACCAGAGGTGCTTCATATGGATGAGTGACCAGCAAGGGCAGGTCCTGCAGGAGGCCATGATTCTTGGCACAGAACTGTCAGCACAAAATAGACACACAGCCAGTGAGGCGGGTTGACATTTTGGCTGCACCAGTGGGCTCAAATATAGCCGTTAGGATGAGCAGGACGTGGCAGTGTTGGTTCTGTGGTGCATAGGGTACTGTATTTCAGAATCAGCTTGACGATACCAGCAACTGATAGGATCTCCACTTCTGTTCATAGTGAGACTGAAACTCAGAAAGGGAAATAATTTGGTAAAGATAATATATAGTCATGTCATCTGTTTAACCAAGGTTTAAAACTGCTTTCTCTGACTTTAAGCCGTTTAGCAGTGGTGTTTAGAGGAGGCTGTGTGTAACCATTATTCTTGAATTTTGGACCACCCTTTTTTTTTTACCACCTTTTTTGTTGTTCCTCATAATGTTTTATAACAAAGAGTGACACTGCCCAGTTTTGTGCCATCCTTACTGTACTGTGTTTATTTTAAGCCCATTTTTGGAATCACTACATCAATCCCTCTCATTGTTGGTCTTCCAGTCCTTCATGGACTCTCTGATTTTGCAAGCATCATGACCTTTCCTGGGGACTGTCTCCTGACAACATGGCCAGAGTATGTGAGATGACATTTTACCATCCTCACCTCTAAGGAGCACCTTGGCTGTGTGTCTAAGACAGATTAGTTCATTCTTTTGACATCCATGGTATAATCAATACTCTTCCCCAGTGCCACAGTTAAAAGGCATCACTTATTTGGTCTTCCTTATTCGTTATATGACTTTTCAAATTAATATGAAGCAATTGAAAAGACCTTCGCTTTGAGGCGGGTACTCTGTAGTTTTTAAAGTGACACACTCTTTAGTATTTGAAAATGTTCCTTGGCAGCAAGCTTGCTCAATGTATCACATTGTCTAGATCACCTAAGAGATGGAAAACATGCTTACAGGGACTGTAGTGAAGCAGTTTTCATTTAACTATATAAAGCAACAGTATACCTCACATCGAAGCATTGTTTAACAACGTAATGGACAGACCTACCTACAGTTTGTTTTACTTGTTTCAGAAGCAACAAAGTATATAGCACCATCACTCTTTAGCTAGACATCTTTTAGGCTGGAACCCACGGATGAGCCTAGTACTGTGCCTGAATGATTCTAAGACTTGATCATATAATAGCTCTTCCTGATAACTGTGCCACTGAGAAGCCAAAGATGCTAACCTAAAACTTTTTTTCTAAATGCACAGTAACATAATGTTTTGTCTTTGTAGCAGGGTCAGACTTCCTTTTTTTTTAAATAAGAAAAATCCGTAGGGAGTTGAACTTCTAAGTTCAGATCTACCAAGCAGCTCCTCAAGAGAAAGATCTTGGTGGGTCAACTATGAGTTGGCTGACAGCAGCGAGTGATTGAGTTGCAGAATAATCAAGGGATAATAGACTTGGCCTCTTAGAGGCGTAAATAACCAAATAGACAGAGGCCTCTGTAGTTAGACCTTTGTACTTAAATGGAAGAGTCATCGAGGAGGGGAGGTGACTACTAAGCTGCTAAAATTAAAGCAGTTTCTAGTTCTGCCTTAGTCCCAGAAACAGCATCGGAGCAGTGTTTAGTATTCCTGAAATGCATTATGTACCTTTCATTTCTTCAGTTAAATAAATCAGTATAGAAGAATTGGAGAAATTTGTGTTATAACTTGAAATTGCCGTAGCACGGTTTTTCTTTGGTACTTCCGGAATGTTTTATTGCTAATATATTCACTTTTTTTTTTTAAGGGGAGGATTTCCTGAAAACCTTGATCTAAAGAGGATAATATTTTATTTTGCAACCTACTTTCTCTTTAACCATGTTATTCCATTTCAGTATAATCTTTCACTCAGCTTATTCTACATGCTTTATAAGACTGGAAAAATACTGTAATTGAAACTCTAGCACATAGTACAGAATGTCTTTATTTGTCCAGACAGAAAAATGACTACATTGAAACTTTTCGTTTGCTCAAATTATACTTATTTTTAGTAAGATTCTTCATTTTTTATATAGAAAATGAAAGTATCTCAACATTCCATCCTCTGAACCCTAAAAGTAGCTTGAAATAGTCTTAAAACATAAACTGGGGCTAATTAATACTGCCCTTTAATCATTAAGACCTTGTATTTAGGAGTGCTCAAGGCAAGACTAGAGCTTAGCCGATTTTGATTATGGAATTTTGAAGGCTCTGGCAATGTCAGTCCATATAGGGAGTTGCATTACAACCTTAAAAGCCAAACCCCTGGCAGCTCAAATCTACCTAGTTTATTCAAATGTCAGTAGTTCAGATCTACTTCTTTTATTCAAACTATTTACCTTATTTTGTGGCTGACTTGAGAAGAATGGGAACCCCAGAACACTTGATTGTGCTTAGAGGAAACCTATTCCAGGACCATGAAGAGGTCATCATAACAGAGCAAGGAAACATTGCATGGTTCAGAATTGGAAGGGTGTGTGCCAGAATGCGTCATGTCTCCATACCTTTTCAATCTTATGTGAAACAGATCATCCAGGAGGCTGGACTTGGTAGGGAAGAGTGTGGCATCAGGATTGGAGGAATACTCATTAACAGCCTATGCAGGTGATAAAACCTTGCTTGCCACAACTGAGGAGGAACTGAAACATTTGCTGCAGAACTGTAATCTTCAATATGTATTGAAGCCTAACATCAAGAAGACAGATTCTCACCACTAGGCCAAATGATAGCACTGTGATGGATTGAGAAGAGATTGAGGTTAACAACTACACTTTGAGCTCCACAGTTAAAACTCTTTTTTTTTTTTTTATGTCTTTTTCCCCCCATAATTTTAATGAGCATTTACAGAGATTTTGGATTTCCATTCATTCATTGCTGCACTTCTCTCCCCGCCCAGCCCTCCCCCACCTCTTCCCCACCCACCCACGCACCCCCCAGTTCGCTCCTCTCTTTCAAAAGTAAAACATTCCCTCCCTGGGACACAATCCCCCCCACACCCCTCCCGCCACCCCTAGTACAGTCCACTATGCAGCCTCAATTGTGGACTCTTGTAATAACCATGATACCCTATCATACATCGCTTTTAAATGATTCACTCCCTCATCTGTTTCAGTGCAGTATACACAATTTATCCAGTTTTTCTCAGTCTTACCCAAACCCTGATTGTTGTTGTTGTTATGTGCCGTCAAGTCGTTTCCGACTCATAGCGACCCTATGCACAACAGCCCTAAACCCTGCTCTATCCTGCGCCAACCGCACCGCCTCTGACACACCCATCCCGATTACCCCAGTCACTGAATCAATCCATCTCATAGAGGGTCTTCCCCTCCTGCGCTGTCCCTCCACCCTCCCAAGCATGATGTCCCTCTCCAAGGACCCGTCCCTCCTGGCAACATGTCCAAAGTATGTCAGACGAAGCCCCAGAATCCTTGCCTCCAACGAGTAGCTTGGTTTAATCCTCTCCAAGATGAATCTGTTTGTTTTCCTGGCAGTCCATGGTACATTCAGTACCCTTCTCCAGCACCACAGCTCAAAAGCATCCACTCTCCTTCTGTCCTCCCTAGTCATTGTCCAACTCTCTGATGCATAACAAGCGATTGCAAAGACCATGGCCTGTTTCAGGTGCACCTTAGTCTCTATAGAGACACTGTTGCTCCTCAGTACCTTTGAGAGGTCCCTAACAGCAGACTTTCCCATCGCGATACGCTTTTTGATTTCCTGACCCCTGATATCGGTCCCATTTTACAACAGTGGCACCATGCAATATTTGTCCTTTTGCGACTGAGATATTTCACTCAGCATGATGTCCTCCAGGGTCACCCATTTTGAATAATACTGCATGAGTTCCTTGTTTTTCAATGCAGCGCAGTTTTACATTGTGTGAATATACCACAGCTTCTCTGTCCATTCGTTTGTTGATGGGCACCTGGGTTGTTTCCAACTTCTTGCTATTGTGAACAGAGCTGCAATAAACATGGGTGTGTATATATCTACTTGGATGTCGTTTATGGTCTCTTTAGGGTATATTCCCAGTAGTGGAATTGCTGGGTCAAATGGTATCTCTATTTGCAACTTTTTGAGAAAGTGCCACACCGCTTTCCACAGTGGTTGCACCATTTTACACTCCCACCAACAGTGAATAAGGTTTCCAGTCTCTCCACAACCTCGCCAGCATTTGTTGCTTGCTGTTCTGTTAAATTTTGCTATTCTGACTGGGGTGAGATGATATCTCATAGTTGTTTTGCACAATTAACACTCTTGGCACCAGCAGTCAGGAAATCTGAAGATGAACTACATTGGAGAAGTCTGTTCTCAGGGACCTCACCAGAGTGCTATGGAGCAATGATGTCAGTCTAGAGACCAAGATGCACCTGATCCAGGGCATAGTCTTTGCAATTACATGCTATGCATCAGAAAGCTGGACAGTGACTGAGGATGATAGAAGAGTTAATGCCTTTGATTTATAGTTCTGAAGAAGAATACTGAACATACCATGGATCACCAAGAGAAAAATTAGGTCTGTCTTGGAGAGGGTGAAACCAAGTTTCTCCTTGGAGGCTAGGATTTTGAAGCTCTGTCTTACATACTTTGGACATGTAGAGAAGGACATCATGCTTGGAAGGGTCGAGGGACAGCGCAGGAGAGGAAGACTCCAGATGAGATGGATTGATACAGTAACTGAGGCAATGGGAGTAGATGTGTCGGAATCGGTGAGACTGGCTCAGGATAGGGCAGAGTTCAGAGCTGTTGTACATGGGGTCACTATGGGTCACAGGCAACTCAATGGCACATAATGATAACACAGCCTTGTTCAGTACACTTCTTCAGCACCACAACTCAAAAGCATCGATTATTTTTTTTGTCATCCTTAATCAGTGTCCAGCTCTTTGATGCATAGCACGTAATGAGAAGATCAGGGCTAGGATCAGGTATCTTAGTCTCTAGACTAATGTTGTTGCTTTTCAGTACTTTAGAGAGGTCTCCGACAACAAATTTTCCTAATTCATCTTTTGATTTCCTGACTGCTGATACCAAGAGTGTTGATTGTGGAATCAAACAAGCGGAAATTGAATAATCTAAATCTCCTCTCCATCTGTTATGGTTCTACCAGCTAGCCCAGTGGTGAAAATCTTTTGTTTTCTTGATGTTGAGCTTCAGTCCATATTGAATATTACAATCCTTGACGTTCTTTAGCAAACGCCTCAAGTCCTCAGTTTTGGTATGCAAGGTAATGTCATCTGCATAATGCAGGTTGTTGATGCATCTTCCTCCAGTCCTGATGCCATATTCCTCATAAAGTCCAGCCTCCCAAATGATCTGTCTTACAAACAGATTAAAAAGATACAGCGATAGGATGCATCCCTAATGCACACCTTTTCTGATATTTAACCATGCAGTGTTTCCTTGCTGTTTGACAACTGCTTCCTGGTCCAAGTATAGATGTCTTAAATGCACAATTAAGTGTTCTGGGATCCCCATTCTTCTTAACATTAGCTACAATCTGTTGTGATCCACATGGTCAAATGCCTTTGCATAGTAAATGAAACACAGACACTCCTCTGATAATCTCTTTCAGCCAGGATCCATCTAATAATGGCTATAATGTCACTAGAGATAGAGCCTCTTTTAAACCTGGTTTGCATATCTGACAGCTCTCTTTCAATGTACTGTTCACTCCTTTAGATATCTTCAGCAGGATCTTCCTTGTGTGTGATACTATGGTATTATTCAATAATTTGAACACTCTTGAATCAACTGGTTGGAATCGGAATAAATATGGATCTCTTCCAGGTAGTTGGCCTCCAGATTTCTTGGCATAGCCTGGTGACCGCGTCCAGGCCAGCATCTGTTTATTGAAGTATGTCACTTGGTATTCCATCAATTCCTGGAGTCTTATTTTTTTTGCCAAGTTCTTCAGAGTGACTTGAACTTCCTTCTTCATCACCATTGACTCTTGATCATATGTTGTTTCATGAAATTCTTCTGTGTCTGCCGATTGTCCTTCATACAGTGACTCTGTTTACTCCCTCCATCTTCTTTTGATACTTCCTGGATCACTAAATAGACTAAATAGTCTGCCAGTATTCTGCAACCTCAAGTATTACAACTTGAGGTTTGTATTTGTTCTTCAGTTCCTTCAGCTTAGGAAATGCCGAACAAGTTTGGCACTTTTGATTTTCTGACTCGAGCTCTTTGCATATTTCATTAAAATACTTAGCTTTTTCTTCCCGAGCTGCTTTTTGAAATCTTTTGTTCAGCTCCTTACGTCTTGATTTTTTCACTTTGCTGTGGCATCTCTGCACTTCTGTGCCATATTCAGAGTCTCTTCTGCCATCAGTCTCAGCCTTCCTCCTCGGTCTTTGTAATCTTCATGGATGACATTCTTGATCTTCTCCCACAGCTCATCTGGGTTTTGTTCATTACTGTCCAAGGCCTCAAACATATTCCTGAGATGGTTATTAAATTCAGATGGGATAAACTGAAGGTCAAACTTTGGTTCTTGTGGATTTAATTCCTTTTCATTAGCTTTATTTTTAATTTATGCATGCGTAGTTGATGGACAGTTTCACAGTTAACGACTGGCCTAGTCTTCACAGCTGATAATTGAGCTTCTCCAACCATCTTCCCAAGATATAATCTGTCTGATTCCTGTGTAGACCACCAGGTGAAGTCCATTTGTACAGGTGTCATTTGTGGCTTTTTTCCTTTATAAAAAATATTTGCAATGAATAAATCATTGATTATACAAAATTCTATCATTCTATCTCCAGCCTCATTTCTGGCACATATTTGTTTTTCTGATTATTGATCCTTCTTCTCTGTTCTCAACTTATGCCTTCCAGTCACCCCTCACTAGTAATGCATCTTGGTTTTATGTTTGCTTTCTAAATACAAAAGTTGGTAGAAAGCATGTCTGTTTCTTCTTCTTTGGTTAAAGTAGCTGTTAGGAAACTTTTCATCCTAACCTTATGCCAGATTCACAGAAAGCACTGTACTAAAACGTAATTTAAAAGTCAGGCAGTCATTGTGTTAGAAATCATTTTGAGGGATGCCATGAAACTGGAGGAAATATGCTTCTTTGACTATTCAGTGAATATGATGCTGTTAGTGAAAAACCAGATGATTTTTGCAGTTTTTTTTTTTAAAAAAAAAAAGCCCTTCAGTAAAAAGCACTTGAGCTCAAATATGTGTGTGTTATTTCCAGAGCTGTACATGCAAAACAGTGGAGCAGACAGCCTAATATCTAAATGAGCACAATGAGGCATAGCCACACAGTGGCATGTCATCATCAGTAGTTCCTGGAGGAGTAAATCTCTGAACACATTATACTAAGTGAAATAAGTCAGGTATTAAAGGTCACAGTAGTAGTGTGGCTTTGAAGATCTTGTCTAGCACTTCCACTCGCTGGGTCTAACTGATGAGGCAGCTGGAACAAGAGCCCAGGCGCTACAGAGAACAGCTTTTTTATTAGTAGGTAGGATAGCTGCTAGATCATTTCTGCAACATTTAGTCTGTTTATCTGCATTCGTACTTGTAGAGGGAGAAGGTTGAAGTATCACTTTTGCCCCTACTGTGTAGTGCGATCATTGAATTTATGTCTATTTGATGACAATAGCAGAACCATTTTGGTAAAATTAAAACAATAGAAATAGTTTATAATTGAACTATTCTTCAAGAACTTCACAGAACTTGATGAGAGGAAGGATCAAAAAACGCTACAAACCTTTGAGTATTTTGTGTGAAGAGTTCTATTTCAGCCTTTTAGGGCTTTGCCTTTTTCAAAGACCTTCTGCTGCTTTATCGTAGGCCACCTATCCTGAATTACAGTAAGAAGTTTTTGGTTTGTTTTGTAATTTATTAACAGGTGGGAAGGAGATGCACTAGTGAGTTAGGGGCTTGTATCTCAGAGCTAGTGAGTAAAGAATCCAAACTGGAACCTGTATCCATCTTGTGTTCTTTCTAACTCTTGTGCCTCCGCTCTCTATGAGTATTATCCTTTAAAAGTGCCAAATCCTAACTAGATCACCAAGGAGTAGTGTTATCCTCTGAGAGATCATTGTCATCTAGCTGGTTCTTTCCTCATTGGTGAGTCTTACCCCATAAACTGTCTCAAATAGAAAGAGCTTTGTGTTCTCATTGCTATGATCCATTGGCACATTGAGAAGTCATCTCCCCAATTCCCCTAGGTGCTTATGGAGTATTTCCTTGGGCTTTTGGGTTCAGCTCCAGGAGAGATGACATTGTAAGTGTGCATAGGTATTTCCTACTGCATTCTTTTATCTTACTAGGTAACAGCTTGTATTTTTGTCTTAGCGCAAGCAGTGAAGTCCCAGGTTTTATCCTAGAGGGCGGACTACAGGTCTGACAGAAGAATACAAGCTGTGGATTCAACAGTTATCTCCAGTCTCATGGGAAGAAACTTGTCTCTTCTGCTTCCTTGAGGACACAATGCAGAGAAAACTAATATTTAAGGTTGGGAAGTAATGATGGTACTTCTTAAAAAAAAAACCCACACAAATCCGATCTGTTTATTCCTTTTTTTTTAAGAATGTCTTCTTACATTCTCTTAACAAGGATCATGTGTGGAGCTTAGTAGGGTGCACTCCTGATCCTTGAAAAGCTACAGTTTATCAGGCTTGTCTGCCCACTGTCAGTGACCTTTCCATGTCGCTGCCTGACAGAGATCTCATTGTTTGGACCAGGATTCTTGTCATCCTCCCCCCACAGTTGCTTTCCGCTGCTACACCTCTATGATGGTAATGCTAACATATTAGAACCCATGTTCTTCTACTCTTTAGTTAATGGCCAGCATTGTCCCTTTCATCTTTATAGTCTTCCAAGTGCCCATCACAGTGCCAGGGATCTAGTAAGTGGCCAGTCAAGTTTTTTGGCTGCTTTATTTCATGGAAAACCCCTGAGATCTCTACTATCCTTTCATGCCTTCTTCTGCCTCTTAAATTTCTACTGCTTTAATGGTTTCTATCTCACAAATGATCCATTTCCTTTTCTGCAGGCAGCATAATTCGCTGTATGAGGCGCCTGGAAGAACTGCTGCGTCAGATGTGTCAAGCAGCGAAAGCCATTGGGAACACTGAGCTGGAGAACAAGTTTGCAGAAGGTTCGTATCTAATCCACCTTTTCCTCTCACTGTAGGTAAATCTTGTGAGATTCAAGTCCTTGACCACAAATTAGGAGTCCCATAGAGGGACATTTAGGCATGTTTATAAATTAAATTTAGAGAATGAAGGGAAACTTAGGAGCTTATATAATATATATTGGTTTAAAAATATTTATTGTGAGCACAATGTCAGGCATTGTTTTAAGCACTTGAGGATACAGCAGTGAGCAAAAACAAATTCCTGCCTTCATGGAGCTTACATTCTAGTGGGTGAGATAAACAATCAAGAAGTCATTGGTTAAAATATATGGTGTTTGTAGAACTACAGAAAAAATACAGGAAGTAGAATTATGATGGATGAGAGAGTCTGAGAAGGTAACGGCCTGGAGCAGAGTGAGTAATGAGTAGAACAGTGAGTGGTGGAGGAAGAAGAAAGACCTTATGTAGCTCCAGCAGCCCCAGGCTTGAAATGATTGGAAGATATGAGCATAGGATTGGTGCTCTGATTTGGGTTTTACACGGCTCATTGTTCCTGTTGCATTTTAGGCAGACTGTACAGTATTAAGGCGGAAGCAAAGAGGCCAGATCAAGAAAGGCTGGCTAGATCAAGGTGATAGTAACTGAGGAGGGAAACTCAAATATGATTTTAAATATGTTTGTTCTCAATTGAATCTCTCTGCCGAAGAGAGTTATGGCATCAAAGAACAGCACATCCACATTTTATCTTAGAATGAGGCCATCTGTTCTACTGATTAACAAACTGACATCCTGAGAAGAGGAAAAATAGGCCTATGTTTCTAGATTGTTGACATATAGATGCAGGCTTATTCACTCAGGGTTTTAAGTCCAGGAATGAATGTTTTGAAAACAGAATTTACTTGCTATTTTCAAGAAAGCATTTCACATAGTAATAGAAAATACAGTGGTTTCTAATCCATTTCTTTTGACAGTTTAGCCCTTTTGATCATTTTATACTCGCACATGTGAGGTGCTTTAAAACGTCTCTAGTGTTTTTTTATGTGAACAGAAATACTGTTTTTAAAACCATTTTAATTATTCTATCAGGATTGTTGTGCTGTTTTAAAAAACCCAGTTAAATGTGTGTTCTTTTTTCCCCTAGGAATCACCAAAATCAAGAGAGATATTGTGTTTGCTGCAAGCCTCTACTTATAAAGGAATGTACAATTTTAAACGCCTGTCTGGATACTTTTGACTACAAATACTTAGAAGTACTAATTTAGTTCTCCCATCTCAAGATATGTCTTTGAACATTTTAATTTGTATTTAAAATAAACTTCATTCTTACAAAGTATATTACATAATTTGTACATAGCATTGCATTTTTAATAAAAATAATGGTACAGGTGGTATAACAGTTAAGTGAAGGCCTGAAATCTCTTTAATAAACTCAGCGATTAGGTGACATTGCATTGAGTGTAACTGTATACAGGTAAAGTGGGCGTCCAGGAGGAGTAGCAGCAGCAGTCCCGTGAAGGTGTGCACAACAGGCAGGGCCGTGCGACCCGACCCTTGTGCCTCCGGCACAGTCCTTTAGGGAGCGGGCAGCTTCAGCTGGGCCCCTGCCACCCATCAAGGTTGGTGGCTGTTCTGATAGTGTTTATCTGCCCCAGCTGTCTCGTGCAGAGTTGTATGTGAGTCCTCTTCTTTCTGGACTTGAAAAGTAGAATCTCTGTTTTTGAAGAAATCTGATACATATACAACCTAGAAAAGATAGATTATACATTTTATGTAAATCACACAAAGTTGCATGAGCCTAAAATACAAAACAAAAAGGTATACATGATGTGGGATAAAAATTAATTAATTATTTCCTTTGGCAGACTTTGTAACTTCAAAGAATTACATTGTTTTATCTTAGGTAAATGGCTTCCTTCTGCAGGCAATTTTAAAAAAAATCCCCCAATTCTTACCAAAAATACAACTGGTAGATTGTCTTTATAGTCAGTCTTTAAGTATTCCTATGAGATACGTGGTTTTTACCAGTTTATGTTCTGTGCTATCAAGTTGGAAATGACTCATAGCTGACCCTCCCACGGATTTTCAGAGGCTCTAAATCCCACAGGAGGAGACTGCCAATCTCTCCTCAGAGCACCTGGTGAATTCTGAGTCACGTGCCTGTGGGCTGCCAGCGCAGCTCTGCTAGGGCCCCAGAGCTCACAGCCCTTGCACAGTAAGTTCTTCAGTGGCAGTTTTTCTTAGTCAAATGTTTATCAAGTTGTACTTACAACTAATACTGCAACCAGAGCTCCTTGAATGAGTCCGGTCAACACGTCACTCCAGTGGTGTTTGTAATCAGAAACTCGAGAAAGGCCCACATATATGGATACAGCAATGAGACCAAATTGCACTGTTGGGCGTAAGAGTCTTGCCCATTCTCCCTTCATCCTGGCTTGGAAATACAACTAATACAAAAGAGAAGAATAAAACCATTTCACTCAAGTGCCAACTGAGAAGCCTAGCTTTATTAGATACCTAGATCTGTCTGGAGTGCAGGTGCAAAGCAAAAGGTAAAGAAATGGGATCGCCATTATTATACATAGGAGCTCATCACTAGTTTGACTGTTTTGTCTAGTCACTTTTAATATGTACTCCTTGCCCATTGGATTTTCTCGGCTGTAATAGACCACCAGGTCTTTGCTCTATCTTGGAATTGTAAACAAGACAATGGTGCATAAGTGTTTCAGATGCAACTCTTTTGTAACATGAGTCCATTGGTCAAAGGCTGACACTGTCAGTATTCTGAGTTTCGGGTGTACCATTAGCCTCCTAAGCCCAAGCTGCCCCTGCTCCAGCCCCATAGGGCTAACTTCCTGTGTCAGTGTCAGGACTGAGTCTGTGTAACTCACGACACAAATGACTAGAGAGCTCCCTTACTCTCAGAATCTAAACATGGCCACTTGAGTTTAGTAAATAATCTCTCTAAAATGTAGATACCTGGTCAAATGCTACAAACTATATCTGTGATCCAGAAAAGAAGTAAAATCTTTCAATAGCATCTTTACTGTGTTTATGGCTTTCCTACAAAGTCACTGGATCTGGAGATTTCCCTTGTCTGTCTGCTTCTGACTATGGGTGTACACTTAAGGATTTCAGTAGGGAAAGAATAGGAATCTTTCCTATGAACTGTCAGTGAACCTATTTGCCTTTTTTAAAGCCTAATCTGTATCCATTAAGAATGCCATTTCTAACATCCATTTTAAAAATTCTGTTTAAGATGCACTGCTCATATTAAGTGCATTTCTCAAAAAACTATCTACATGGTTCTGCCTACTGACACAAATCCAGTTCACTGGGCACAAGTATGAACATCTGTTTCGAAACAGCATAAAGTCTGACTCATAAAACTCATTGTTGTTATGTGCCGTCAAGTCACTGCGACCCTATGCACAGCAGCTCTGAAGCCTGCCCTGTCCTGAGCAAGTCTCACTGATTCCGACACACCAACCCCATTGCCCCAGTTACTGTATCAATTCATCTCATCTGGAGTTCTCCTCTCCTGTGCCGTCGAAAGTTTAAATGTTACTGATCATCTGAGGATCCCTTTTCCTTTTTTCCCCCCTTCAGGTTAATAGCAAGTCAATATCAAGAGACTTATCTTGAAATTCTAGAGTTTTACTGAAGTAAAAGCAGCATCTGGCATTAGGAAATTCAGTCTGATCCAATAAGCGACACTGAGTAACATGTCTCATGCAGTTAGAATGGCATTTGCATAGAGTTTGTGGTATTCTTACTAACTTACTCAAATACTTACCAAATACCTACAGTGTGCCAAGCCTGAAATTATAAATGTGTATAGCTACTTCTTGGGTCAGAGGATGAATGAGAGAAATCCCTTCAACTCGAATTTAGACAGAAAATAATGGTCCCCACCTTACGCTGCAGTGCGCTTGTACAGCCTCTCCCTGGTCCAGCTGACTGAGCCCCACAGCTCCACACTTTGGTTTCTGTCTTCCATGTTGCTGGCCAAAACTCACTCTTGGATCTCTGACACCTCCAATTACTAAGCATTTCTCAGTCTCCTAAGCCCTACTCTTGGACTCCGCTTCCTCTATACTATTAACTGCTTTCCAAAATCACTGCCTCTTGTCTACTACCTCCTCTCATACCTCGACTTAAGGATTTATAGCTGCCTTTTTTTGTTGTGCTCCTTTGATGAAGGTCAGGTTATTCTTATGCCCCACACTTTATATGGTAGTATATGTTTCTTCTCCCAAAGTTAAAATCCCCATGACACCAGACTGCCTTATTCTCCAGAAGGGAAAAAAGTTCATACAGAATTACAAGACAGAAACAGACTAGGAAGTACTGTGGTGCTAAGAATTGGTTGAGGGGTGAACACAAGGGTCAACTGGAGGATTGCTATCGGACCAAAAGCTTCACTTCTTTGCTTAAAGAGGACTAACTCTACTATCTTCCCCTCAACCCCTCACAAACCTGAATATTATCCAAAAAGACTTTAAAGCATACAAGAGAACAACTCTAGAAAAGACAGGAGACGAGATTCCAGGAAACACAATTTTTAGAAAAAAGAAGGATGTACCATTAACTTTATACTCTGATTTCTCCACTTCTTATATACTGAGAGGGGCTGCAAATACTATAGGAAGAAAAGAATAAAAGTTTCTTTAGCTGTTACCAGTGAATCAGGCAGCTGTTAATACTCTTTATGGAAATAAGGACAGAAAGCCAATCTAACCCCCTGTTGCTGAAGCCCAGGCTTTAGGGAGGAAACAAGATGTTGGCATTTTCAAGGCCAACTAGTTTCATTGACTCCCAAAGTCCTTTGAGCTGTCTCTTCAGAGTAGATCCTACCTTAATGATAGGAACGGAATAAAGCTTTTAGCCAATGTAGGCCCTGACTGAAACAGCTACAAACATCCATTCATAATCAGAATGTGGAGTACATACAGTACAGATAAAGGAAAATGAGAAGCTGGCCAAATGGAATGGAATTGGTGAGCTGACATGGGCTGGTAATGGATGCTCTGAATTTGAATCACAGGATCTTTGCTGAGAATGGTCTTGGAGTCATCTCAAAATGAACATTTCAGGATCTGGAAGTACAATGTCATTATTAGTAATGTACACAGCATACAAAGGAGACCTGTTAATACTAACCAATATTCACAGCTGCACACCAACCACTAACACCAAACATGATAAAATTGAGGTTTTCTAACTTCTGCCACCTAAAACTGACAGGAATGACAGGAAGCAGATAATCAAGATAGGTAAATTATATGGCTTGTATTAGGCTCCATTTTTAGAAAGCTAAAGGGAAGTTTCTTTTTGCTTTTATTAAAAAGGGGAGAAGCTAGCCTTGAGCAGGCTGGTGACAAGAAGCTGGGACCCTGAGCAGCCAGAGGGACTTCACTGCCTGGCAGTCGTACTTGCCACCAAAGCACCCGACCTTTGAGTCTGTGTACACTGTTACGGCCACTTGAGGATTTATGCTAAAAGAATGTTTCCCATATGAAGGAATGGCAGTTGCTTTGCTTTATGTTACTTAAGTTTACAAAATGCTCTATTTTTAGAGAGTGGGGGGAACCTGTATCAGTACCAAAACACAGGATCTTACAGATCTTGAGTGATGTAAGATGGGTGATTATTAGCTGGAATGAAAACGCATCTGTAGGATTCAGAGTGAGTGACACTGTCCAAGTAAGGAGAAGGGGCAAGGCCTGGAAAGGAGGCATTCTGTGCCGAGAGGATACCAAGAGATATGCAAGCTACTACAGGGAAAAATAAGAGATGGTGACAGAGACACCGGGGTTTCAGCCTCAACAAGAAGGCATTACTGCATTTCTCAATGGACTGAAAAAGAAAGTCTCATCCCATGGCACTTCTCCCAAGCTGTCACACAAATTCCAGCCAAGTTCAAGGGGAGTCACTGAAGCCATAATGGAGGCTACTTGTGTGCAAAGAAGCCCTGCACTCCAGCCAGTCAGCAGAATTGTCTGATGCCAAGGCCTGCTGAAGAAGACTCCAGGGTCCATCTGGATGCCAGACAGGACGGTGTCAAAAATCTTTTCTTCACGTAGACATTTTTGCGGGAACTTCTTTTCTTGGTGCCAGAGATTCTTGCTAGTGAAATTTCTGGCTATCTTAGATGCCAGCATGCTCAGGGAAACACGATCATTCATCAGCTATAGACTTTTCCATGGAGTGTGGGTGATAAAACTTGTGCATAAATGTCAAAGTGGAAAGGAAGGTGACACCTATCTAAGCACAGAGATAAAAACAGGTCGCTGTACAAGTTCCTTCCACTGCTCCAAGGCTGAAATGCAGTGAATGCATTATCCAGAAGGACTTTGTGTTGCAGAATGATCCATACTAAAGGCTGTTAATCTTTGATCTTCAGCAGTAAGTGCTTTTTTGTTTTAATTTTTCTATCTAAATGACCCATATGCTTGCTACTCAGTTACCAAACTATGGTGGTGTTACATACTGTCAAATTGGAAGTGACTCATAGCTGGACCGACCAGTGAGTTTTCAGAGGCATGGGAGATTGCCTGTCTTTCTCCTGCGGAGAGGCTGGTGGATTTGAACTGCATCTTTCTGTGTTGGCAGCACAGCGTCTTGCCACTACAGCATCCTTACCAAAATACAGCTCTTCTAATTCTCCTGCTGCTCATATCCCTGACTCACCTGCTCATATGCTCCAGAGTATACACACAGCAGGCTGCCAAAACCTTTGCCCACTAACTTTCTGTTGCACAAAGACCACACAGCACAGATTCTATTTGACTAGATAGCCAGAACGGGGCTATGGAGATAATCCCAGTGTGATTAACTCTGCAGCAAGTGTTCCAAGAAGGCTCAAGGGAACAGGGAAGAAAAGAAAATGCTAAGACATGAAATTAATACCTACACCTAAGTATAATATTTAAACTTTAAAAAAAACAAAACCAGTGGATCAAAGTTAGGTGCCACTCACAATCTTACTTTCAGAAAGAAGAAAAAAAATTATTTGACTTTCACTAAGATAACTGGACTAACGGATGAAGCTCAATTATTAAAGACCCTCAGAGGACTCATTCAGTGCCCACCTCCGCATATGCAATGCTCCTATTCCCTCATCTGTAAAACTACCAGTCACCTCTCATTTCTTATTTCACGGGGACAAATGGGAAGAGTAAAAAAAAAAACACAACCAAACCACCAAGGTGCTGTGACATACAGCTTGCTGTCAATATTAACTAAACCTCAGATTCATAGTTCTTTACCAGAAAGAAGGATGGAGGGTAGAGTGAATAATTACCTCAAAATTACACCAGATCACAGAAAATACCTAAATCCTCAAAAGCTTCTCATGTGCTCTGGAAAAGTTCTTAGCATCTTGCTCTTGCTTCTCCCCCAACCTCTCTGCCCTATTGATAAAAAGTTGGTTTTTCAAAGACAAGCTAACCTTCTGGTAAAACTAAATAGGTGGCAAGACAAGATTGCACATTTGTATTGTTTTTAATTTTTATTTGTTTATACTCTTGTACATTGTCTTTCACTCTTGTACATTGTACATTGTCTTTCATACAATCATTCATTCATGTCCTCTATTTCACACAATCACCACTCCTCTATGTCTATTATTACCCTGTCTTCTCGAGTCCTCAATCTCTCCTATTCCTTCACACACACCTCCCACATTCACCCACCAAACTGTTATCCTAGGATTTCCATCCTCCCTATTTTTCTGCCTCTTCCTTCTTTCCCCAGTAATGGACATTTCTGGCATCACATTTTCAGAAATATTGGGTGTCTACTGTAAAGAAAGAAGAAGACCAAAATGGATGTCAGAAAAGACTGAATATTGCACTTGAGCATCAAGAAGCAAAGGGAAGAAATCAAGAAGTTAAGGAGCTGAACAGAAGATTTGAAAGGGCAATTCAGGAAGACAAGGCAAAGAGCCAGAGTTAGAAAATCAAAAGGGCCGAACTCGCTCAGTATTTTTTAAGCTGAAGGAACTAACTATAAAGAACAAATTCAAGCCCCGCGGCAATGCTTAAGGATGCTGAATATTGAATGATTCTGGAAGCATTAAAAGATGGGAGTATACAGAATCATTGTACCAAAAAGAACTGGCTGACACAGAAGAATTTCATGAAACAACATAAGATCAAGAGTCTATGATGTCCACCACCTAATGTAAAATAAAATCAAGTAATACAAAAAAAAAAAAAGAGTCTATGATGATGAAGGAGGATGTTCAGGCTGCTCTGAAGGACTTGACAAAAAATAAAGCTCTGACAATTGATGGAATAGCAAACGACGTATTTCAACAAACTGATGCTGACCTGGATGTGATCACCAGGTTGTGCCAAGAAATCTGGAGAAAAGCTTCCTAGCCAACTCACTGGAAGAGATCCATATTTATTTCCATTCCAAAAAAAGGTGACCCAACAAGAGTGTGGAAATTATCAGTATCACTAATATCACACATTAGCAAAATCCTGCTGAAGATTATCCAGAAACGACTAGAACAGTACATTGACATAGAACTACCAGAAATACAAGCGGGGTTTAGAAGAGGTCGTGGTACTAGAGACATTATTGTGAATGTCAGATGGATCTTGGCAGAAAGCCGACAGTACCAGAGGAATGTCTGCCTGTATTTCATTGACTATGTAAAGGCATTTGACTGTGTGGATCACAACAAATTGTGGCTAACCTTAAGGAATATGGGAATCCCAAAACACTTGACGGTACTATACTTGTCCTCAAAACAGAGCAGGAAACATGGCATGGTTCAAAATCAGAAAAGGAGTGCATCAGGGATGCATCCTGTCTCCATGTCTTTTCTGTATATATGCAAAGTAGATCCAGGAAGCAGGGATTTATGAGGAGGAATGTGGCATCAGGATTAGAGGAAGACTCATTAATAATTTACATTATGCAGATGACAAACCTTGCTTGCTGAAACAGAAGAGAACCTGAAGCACTTGCTGCAGAAGGTCAAGGTCTGTACTCTTCAATATGGATTGAAGCTCAACATCAAGAAGACAAAGATTCTCACCACTGGGCCAACTGGCAGCACCAAGGTAGAGAAGAGATTGGGGTTGTTAACAATACAGCTTGCTTGGCTCAGTCAGTACTCTTAACAGTAGCAGTCAGGAAATCAAAAGATGAATTGTATTGAGAAAATCTCCTGTCAGGGATCTCTCCAGAATACTAAAAAGCAATGATGTCAAGTCTAGAGACTAAGGTGCACCTGATCCAGGTCATGGTCTTCACAGTTACTTGCTATACATCAGAGAGCTGACTATGACTAAGGATGACAGAATAAGAATCAATGCCTTCGAATTGTGGTGCTGGAGAAGAGTCTTGAACACACCACGGACTGCCAAGAAAACAAATAGGTCTTTCTTAGGGTGAAACCAACGTTCTCCTTGATGGCTAAGATTTTTAAGCTCTGTCTCTCATACTTTAGGCACATTGCCAAGAGAGACTGGTTCTTACAAAAGGACATCATGTTTGGAAGGATGTATGGACAGCGCAGGAGAGGAAGACCCCGATGAGATGGATTGATAGTGACTGGAGCAATGGGGGTAGGTGTGTCAGAAACAGTGAGACTGAAAAAAAAAGAAAAAAGAAATAGTGAGACTGGTTGGGACAGGGCAGAATTCAGAACTGCTGTACATAGGGCCACTATGTGTCACAGGTAACTCGATGGCATAGAACAACTGTAAAAAACTCTCAAACTCACCGACTTGAATCAGCACCAACTCGTAGCTGACTCACAGGTCTCCAAGGCTGAAAAATCTCTCCAGAGGAGAGGACCCATTTTTCTCCCTCAGGGTGGCAAGTGGCTTCAAACAACCTCTGGGGTAACAGTGCAAGTCCCCACAGACTATGCTAACAGAGCTCCCTCAAATGACATTTACTTGCATTGTCTGACTATGCAAAAGTATACGTAAATAACCGTGGTAAAACAGAAGATGGGCAGAAAAGAGGAAGACCCTCAACGAAAAGGACCGGCAGATGCAACATTGGTCTCAAAGACAGCAATACTGTGAGGGTGGTGTGGCTCCCAGCTGTGCTTCTGTTCTACAGTCACTGACCTTCCAAGATTCCTGTGCACGTTCAAAAATCCTGTCCCCCACTAGTTATGCGCCAAGAAATTGACACCACCACCTTATCAGCTATGCATAATGTGCGTGTATCACTGTCAACTCTGTAAGGCAAATGCCAGTTGTCATGCCACTTGTTCTGGGAGGCAGTGAAAAGCTCCTGCAGCAGCCATTGGCTGTCCTGGGAGCAGAAACCTTTCCCGTCCCATAGAAGGCGGCCTGGGAAATGTGTTAGAAAGTCAGCCCCTGTAATAACCAATATCCACTCCTCACCAGGTAAGGCCAGGAGAATGCCAAGCTGCATGGTGCCTAAACTCTGCATGGAGAAGATGGGGACAGACATTCCCAACCACTGACAGATTTCCAAACAACAGCTGTCGCCCTCATTCAGTACTTTGTATCCCTGGCCTGCTGGCAAGACACAGAAAGAGACTCTAGGTTCCAGAAAATTGTTTTGAAAATAAGCCCAAAATAAGGATACATCTACTAGTTCTTAGCATCAAAACTCAGACTTGCTGATTATGTTAGGCTTTTACCACTGTCAGAAAAACACCTATTTTAAAGGTAAATAGTCTGCATTATCCTCAACTCAAAACCTCAACTCAGTCAATTGAAATAAACTCCTGACTGACCCTGCAGTGGGTTTCCAGAGGTTGCCCACCTTTACCTCCTGCTACAGCTGGTGGGTTCAAATCCCTGTGCACCTCCTTACTGGCCACACGGGCTCCCTCTATCATCCTCCAGAGTTTCAAGTTGCTGTATGACAAAACTGTTACCTCTAAATTCTAAATGAAGGACACAAATACATTCAAACCGTCCCTGGCTTTGAGTGAAGCACAGATATCCACTCCTCTCTACTTAACGCACCCACAAGAGAATCTAGCTTGTTGTGTCATCTTGAAATTTGCGGTTATAGCCAGCTTCCTGACTAGTCCGGGAAAGGATGCCCACACTGAACACAGTGCTTGCAGGCAGCCCATCCATCAGCCACCCATCAACAGACAGAGTACTTACTGCCAGGAACATCATGCAGTACATGGAGAAGGAGGAGTGGCCTGAGTAGAAGGACAACCTGGAAGAGAAAGGAGAAAGACACTCATTTTCATAAATGTTCTTGGGCTCTCCTCACCACTCCTCCACCTTCAGATCTGGGAACATAGTGCTCTTCCACCTGCCGATTTGGGGCTGGGGTAGACAAGACAAGGAGCATTAACGAGACGGGGCGTCTGGGGTTAAGATGTCTTCAAAGGATCTTGCGGAAACTTTTCTCAGGATGAATAATGAATCACTGCAAACCCACTTGCCAAAACCACAACTAACATAAATGTCCTTGCCTTGTTCACATGACCATGATTTAAATTTTATTTTCTCGACTTGCCAGATTTGCCATGGAATAATGATGAGGAATGCCTTTAATGAAATACCCCCAATTTTTTCCATTCCTATTGTATTCTAGAGTTTTAAATGGGTTCACTTCTTGCTTCAAACTTTTTACCAGATTATTTCTTGACATTCTTAAACTGTGTCCTGACAATCCTCTATCAGATCTGAATCATCTCTTTAAGTAGAGTCATGTATTAATTCTTTTTTTTAAAATAATTTTAATGAGCATTTACAGAGATTTTGGATTTCCATTCATTCATTACTGCACTTCTCTCCCCGCCCAGCCCTCCCTCCCCTTCTATTGATTCTTAAATACCATCCTCTCCACATAAAAATGACCATTTGGAAAATTTAATGCTATAGCAGTTTTGAAAAAGGGGAAAAAAACAAAGCAACTCCACTGACATTCATGATCTAAATTCTTAGGGCGAATTAGCTATTGATGCAGAAGAAAAGCAAAAATATTTTATATAGTAAAAGTAGGTCAAGACCCAGAATGCCAATTACAGTGCTTCCTTGACTGTTCTCCCTAGGTAAAGAAGAGCAAATTGGCAAGTATTTTTCTTACTAAGCCATGGTTGGAAGGAATTTTTAGATGTTTAATATGCATGTGAAAGACGATAGATGCTGTGGGCAAAATAATGAATAACCCAGGAAGCATCCAAAGAAAATGGAAGGAATATACAGAGATACTGTACCAAAAAGATTTCAGAAGTACCATATGAACAAGAGTCTATGTAATGAAGGGGAGGGGGAATATTTTTTTTTAAATAGTAATAAAGGAAGAAGGTAAAACTACACTGAAAGCATTGGCAAAAAAATAAGGCTCCAGGAATCAATGAAACACCAGCTGACATATTTCAACTGACAGATGCAGCCCTGGACTCCCTAGTCTAGCTGAGGAAATTTGGAACACAGCTGCATCGCTGGCTAACTGGAAGAGTCATACTCGTTCCCATTCCCAAGAAAGGTGATCCAACAGAATGGAAACTATCAAACGGTATCAATAATATCACATGCAAGCAAAACACTGCTAAAGATCATCCAAAAAACAGCTAGGACAGCAAACAGACATATGACTACCAGTTTAAGCAGGGTTTAGAAAAGACTTTGTTATCAGGAGTATCACTGCTGATGTCAAGATAAATCTTGGCTGAAAGCAAAGAATACCAAATGAATATCTATCTGTGCTTTGTTGATTATGCAAAGGCATCTGACTGTGTGGATCAACAACAAACCATGGCTAACATTGAGAAGAATGAAAATCCCAGACAAGAGTTGTGCTCATACAAAACCTGTATTTATGAAGCTAGGGAATAATGCATGGTTTCAAATCAGTAAAGGTGTGTGTCAGGGTATTGTTTCTCCATACCTATTCAATCTGTATGTTGAGCAACTTATTTGAGAAGCTGGACTCTATGAAGAAGAAGATCAGAGAAAAGGATCATGATCAGAGACTTATCAACAACCTGCATTTTGCAGATGACACAGCCTTGCTTGGTGATGGTGAGCAGGCTGGAAGCACTTGCAGAAGATCTACTGCCTTCAATATGAACTGCATCTCACATCCACAGAACAAAAATCCTCACCTCTGGACCAATAAACAGCATCATGGTAGTGATTTCATGTTACTTGGGTTCACATCAACACCCTTGATACCAGTCATCAGGAGATCTGCAATTAATCAATCTTTTATTTTCTTAAGCCCATCATTGTTGTTAGATGCCGGTGACCCTATCAACAACAGATCTGTACTCTTGTCCTATCCCGTGCCATTCTCACAATCTGTGACACATTTAAGCCCATTGCTGCAGTCATTATATCAGTCCACCTAGTTGAGAGTCTTTCTTTCGTTGTCCCTACAACTTTGCAGGCATGGTGTCCCTCTTCATTGTCCCTCAACATGCCAAAGTATGTAAGGTGAAGTCTTACTATCTTTGCCTCCAAGGAGCACTCTAACTGCACCTTCTCCAAGATCTATTTGTCTCTTCTTTTGGCAGTTCATAGGATATTCAGTACTCTTCTCCAACACCACAGTTCAAAGAGAGCAATTTTTCTGTTATCCTTATTCACTATCCAGCTCTCAGGAGCATAGACTATTGGCAAAATAAGGCATATCTTAGTCCTCAAACAAACATCATTGCCCCTCAATAATTTGGAGAAGTTCCTGACTACAGACTTTCCCACTGCAATACATTTCCTGATCTTCTGACTCCTGATACCAAGTGGATTGTGGATCAAAGTAAAATGAAATCCTTGACAGTTTCAGTCTTTTCTCCTAATCTCAATCCTCTCTAGTGCAAATACTTTAACTTATACTAATAGTGTTCTTTCTTCTCTTTGTAAAAGGAGAGTCTTTATTATTCAGCTGCCCTGACAGTGCACTGGATAAAGTGCTTAGCCACTAACCAGCTTTTTTATCCTATCAATCATTCCATGAAAGAAAGAAATGGTCATCTATTTCTTTAAAGATCACAGCTCTGCAAACCCTGTGCAAACACAGAGTTTCTAGAAATTGGAACTGACTCAGTGGCACCAAGTTTGGGTGTTTTATTATGTTTGATTTGGTACATATTATTAATTATTCTCATTATCGTTATTATTATGTAAGTTTTTAAAAGTTTATGTTTATTAATGAGTAAGAGAGTTCTGGCTGCTTAGTGGTAAGGAGGTGCTTTGACAGACCAAAGGCACTGGTTTGATCCACCAGCCAGGGGGGGGGCAAAGTGGATCCACCAAAATGCAAGGCAAAGACCCACTAGCCACTCTGTGGGGGAAAGACAGGTCATTCAGTGGCCAGTTCTAACTCAGAGGTACAAAACAAGAGGTTTATTATTTCCCCTTTTCTTATTTTATTAAACAACATTTACAGATATAAATGTGAATTCTGTTCCACATACTTTCTAGTAGCCATGTGACTTCTCTTTTAATCCATGAGTTATTAATATTAGTTTTAACTTAAAACCATGGGCTTTTCTTACTGATTTCTTACCACTTTTGTTTCAAACAGATCAGAAGATAATGAGCTATGATGGCAAGAAATGTGCTGCGGCTTGCCTTACAGCTGAAGGCAGCTCATTTTTATAAGTGCTCCACGTGTTCAAAATTTCCACTGATACTTCCTCATTGCTTTTATCCCCAGGATAGTTTGGAGATTTTAATCTCTTTTCATTTCTCTATTTCCCCTGGAACTTTTATCAACTCAAAACTCATTGTTGAGTTGAAACCAACTGATAGCTGACTCTCCAGTGGGTTTTCAGAGGCATAAATGTAAAATGGGAGGAGACAACATATTCTCTGTCCACAACTTTAACATGGACAATTCTCTCAAAAATAGATAATCCCTCTCCCAGACCACACAAGAGTACTCATAATGCTTAAACGCCAGTCACCATTTCTCGCTTTTTATAGCATTTTACAATTTTACATGTCTACTTCCTTAGCCTACATACAAAACAGTTAGTGAAACAAGGTAGGTCTGGTGGCTTAGTGCTGATGAACCACATTGCCAGCCCAAAGGGCAGTGGCTCAAACGCACCAGCTGCTCCGAGGGAGGCAGACAGGCACATGGACATTAAATGGTCCCTGAGAGAGGTGCACTTCGGGACTCACTCACTCACTACTCACTACCACTGAGTCAGAACCAGCTCAGAGCTGACACTGCAGTGCCCGGCCCAGGCTGTAAATCACATGAGACGCAACTGCCAGCCAGTCCTTCTTTAGAGGAGCCAGTGGGGGTTCAAACGGCCAGAGAAGCGTGGCCTTGGGGTGAGCAGTGCAGCTCTATTCCCTGACATGTTCTCCTTTTTTGTTACTAATGTGAAGCCATCCTTTTGCAGCCGTTTCTTGTCATTTTGAGTTGAGGCACCTCAGCAGAGGAAGGTCTCACAAGCTTGAGTCCACTAACGTCACAAAGGACCAGGTCACAGTCTGGAAACGTCTTTCCCAGTAAGATGTGTCCCATGTGAGGGACACATGGTATCGCTGTCCCGCTGCTACTCGGAAGGCTTGCACCTTCTAGGTCAAAGTTCCTTACCTACAGTAGTATTTATGCTCCTCACAAAAACTCTCATGGAAGGGACTATAAATCCAATTTTAAAGACAGACAAAAACCCAGGGAAGGTCTGTAACTTATTTAAGAGAGATACACCTCTCTTTGAGTTTCAAATTGGACTCTTCTCAGCTGTGAGATGAGAAGTTCTGTATAGTATATATTTTGGCCTTGTTCTTAGATCCTGAGTATTAGATCAGACCTGAGGCCAATGATAGGGAGCTGACCAGAGGAAGGGGGGGCCACAAGGGGCCCAATACTAACTAAATCTCAGCAGGCATGCTGTAATCATCATGGCTATGCAGCGAGGCCAATGAAAATCTTAGAAGATGGGGGCTCGGCAGAGCTTCTAAGTGGTAAGAGTGAACATCCGCTCTCAGGATAAGTGTGTCTTAAGTGTGTGTCCCTGGAGACATGGCAGCTTTGTGCTGTGTGAGTCATTCTTGCGGTGATTGTGCCTAAAGAGCAGATGCGTGGCCAGGACCCGTTCACCTAAGCCCTGATGATTAGGGAAGAGAGAGAATGGGCTGCATGGCGCAGCCAGGGTCTGAACTGACCAGGGAGAGGAGAGGGACGTTTCTACAGGAAATAGTGTGTATGTGAGGGGGACTGATTCTGACACATGTGGTCCCAGAGAT